ATCTTAAAGTTAAAAAACTTTCAATAGTTACAAAATTTAGAATCCTACAGAATCAAGTCGTCGAAAGTAAAATTTTTCAACCTAATATTTTAGTTGAAAAGATACTTGAAGTATTTGAATATAGAATGAAGTTAGTGGAGAATGCAAAGAAGAGATAGTAATAAAGTTGAGAGACTGATGAGAGTATATATAGTAATCATTTTTGTGTAATGCTTTGACCAGATACAATTTTATTTTTTCCTCTCCATTCTAAAGTTTCCTGGAAGAGATCGCTTTTTACCAATAAGTCAAGCTATTGCTGCCTCTTTATCTTGTTTTTAAGTAATTATTTTTGTAAAAGTATTAATTTTATTTGTGTAAATTTTGTTAATGTTTATAATCTATATCATTCTTTGGAAGAAACAATAAAGAGTTTTCATTAATTCATTCATACGATACTGTGCAGACTTAAAAGACATGAGAGTTTCTTCAAACGATCTTAGAATGAGAAAGGAGAGGAATAAGAAATAATAAATGACTTCAGTAAAAGTTTACTCTCATATTGCGTAGGAAAGCAAATTATATTTTTCATGTTACAGTGGAAAGATGAAAGTTGAGAGAGAAAGAAAAAGTCTAAAAAATAATTACGTAAAATAGCAAAAGCCTGTTAGCGTCTCGCTTATTCCTCTTTTTTATATACGGGTAGTTGGCATCATCGCAGTCTATATGCATAGAGTCCGTTGAAGAAAGTTACACAAGTTAGTAGCTTCGAGTTAATTGCGAATAAAAAATAAAAAAGACACCATCTCCGAGGCACAATTCTCTCGGATCACTTTTTATAATAAATAAAAGCCCCCGAGGAACGTTTTAATTAATTCCGATTAGAAACAACCCTTATCGCTACTTTGCTTTTCCGGTAAATGACATTCCTTTAATCATGTTGTCAGACGTAATTTGTGTTTTGTTTCTAATTAATTAATATAAAGTTGATTCTTATCTGTTCAATCATTTGAATGAAGTCGATAACAATTCACTGCCAGAGAAAAAATTACAAGAATTGTTCCAAATAAAGATTTTGCACATTTCAATAATTTTGATTTTGTATTCTAAAATAATGGAAATCAGAATTTAAAATTAGATACAGCAAGTATGTCTTTGGTATTTAATTTTCATTGCATATCTCACAAGGAACATGACTCCTACTCTTATATCTTTTCCTCTACTTTCGAATCTGAAATAAAGAAAGAGACATTATATTTATGAAATATATCATGAATATTATATAGAATTGTGGCCGTGTGGTCCCGGTATAGAATAGACCACTCTTTCCTTTCTTGTAGGTGTCGTAAGAACCGACTAAGGGAGGGTGAGGGATGGATAGCAACATCCCTTTTAAAACATCTCTAAAGCGTGACTGCGCTTGGCAATCTGCCTGCTGAGCATGGAAACTGCTGGCAAAATATCCCAAGGGAGAGGCTTATGTCCAACAGTGAGCCGTTAATAGCTGATATGATGACAATGATTATATATAATTGAAATCTGAACCTTATATAAACTGTAATAGAACAGATATAAAAAAAAAGTATGCGTGTCATATAGGCTAGCATGTACTGTTTAGTCTACAAGCATTTATGGTATTATCACCAAGCTGTCTATATAATTTAAAAAATATAAAACTACCATCATTGCATTATATTTATTTATATTTTCACTTTAATTTTCACATTAAAATCTGTCAATGTCAAAGCAAAACGACACTTGCGTAGCCGGCAAAGCGTTTAAAACCCTTTAACTATCATTTTGAAATACAACACTTGACGCGGTTCGTGAAAAATATGGTAAACGTTTCTAGGCCACCGCATTGTATACGGGAGAGAGAAAAGGCATTTTACGCGAAACACTGTCTCTTGAATATTGCTACTACAACGACTGTTCTCTCTGTATAGTCAGAATTTATAGCGACAGTCTTCTGGGACAAAATAGCAACAAAAGCAATAATTTGAAATAGTAAGTTCGTAGTTACTATAACACTATAACTATCTAGTACTTCTGTAGCTTTATTCAAGTTAGTTTTGGTACGAGGTAAGGTTTTACGATATTTAGAATGACAAATAAGGATGGAAAGTGGTAACTGTTGCCTACAGATATGAATAGCTTCATGGACATTACAGAATACACTATTATGCCCAAGAGACTACTATAGAACTAAGTATTAAGGCCTCTATTTTCACACACATCATTTCCATCAAATGAACTATCAGCTTTCTTAAATTCCATGTTTTAAATTTATGCTCGAGCATGTCGAAGGGTATTTTTCCATGTTCCGTTGAGAAAAGTACAGCTAGCAAAACAGGCAGTAGCACTGACCCTGCTCAACGGTGTCACGAGCCAGTATCCGGACTTGGATATATTTACTTGTAAACTTGTCGAATTTCGCAGAATAGAATTATTAGAAAATGTCCTATAATTAAATGTTATTATGTTTGTATATGATGTGACTGCTAAGAGAGTGAATTGGGAAACTGTCAAGCTCTTTTGGTTGGCAAATATAAATAAATAAATATAGAAAAGAACTCATTTCTTGCTTTCACAGGTATTTAGTAATATTTATTTACAAAAGTCGATTGCTTGGATGCCTCTGTTCCAATCGTGTTTGAACCGTAAAACAGTTGTGTTTGCATGGCTGTGTTTCGGTTTGAAGGGTGGGATATGGCGTGAATTTACAGGGTACAGAGGAATAATACCTGAGTCCTCAGGAATGGCAACGCACGCGGGGTATCATGGGCGAAACAGTATACTCTGTTATGTCCATGGTACTGCTCATGTCTATAGGCGACGGTTACCACTTTCCATCAGATGGGCCGTCAACTTGTTTGTCATTCTAAGTTGTATAAAAATAAAAAATAAATAAATCTTCCAGAGATACTTGACCCTGTAAAAAGAAGTTATTTAACAATAAATATAGTTTTGAAATTTTCAAAATCAGCTTTAAGCCTTCTATAGACCGAATACTTTGCAATGCTTTCACCTTTTGAGTCTTTGAAGAAGCACTCTCATGCATTTACATTTAATCTACATAGAAAAAACTAGCAAGCGTCATGTGACCTCATTTCCACGCCGCAAAAATATCTTTCAGTTCAACGTATAAAGCTGCATAGAGAATATACTATGACATGTCGTGAACATATCTTCTAAATGATTTATAAAATACAGGGAAAACATGGCGCCACTCCGCAATATTTTTTTTATACTATAATATTTTATTTATAAATTGTAAAGTTCATTCTTTTAGTTTATTTTATAAGATAGTTCAATACCAGCTCAGTGGTTCAGCTGTCTGAAGTCCCAAGATCAAATTCCGGACCTTTTAAAAATGATTGCTTCTTACTTCGGAGGACAAGTAAAGTCATTGTACAGTAAACCACATCAAAGGCTTTTGTAGGTAACGAAGGCGGCCTTTATTCTAAAATATATATTTACAAGAGTAGTATTAGTTAGTAGCAAAGGAGTTACTTGCTAAATAGCTGTGTTTTTGTTATCATATAAGAAAAACAAAATGGTGAACTCCGATGTTTCTTTTCTTCCCGCAAACGTATCTATAAATATATTAATTTACCATTTGTTTTAAGATATTAACTTGCTACATTAGCATTATAAAGAACAGAGTTTGTTTCACTGTTCTCTCTCTTTAAATTTGGTCTCTTTACACATCTTTGCTTCATTCAATTTCATAACCAGTCTTGTGCATACAGGTCTGATTTTGAGATTCTTGTTTTGGGTGCGCTTACGAGCACAATACTAGCGGAACTGTAAATATATTGCCACACTTTTTAGCTCTTTACTTGAAGATTTCAATGTAATATTTTTTCCACGATTTAATTACACGATCAATTTGGTATACAAGATTAAGTGCGAACTTTAATTGCATCAACCTTGACCTTTTATATTACGTCTGTGATTATCATCATTGGATTTGAATCATTGAAAGAAGTCATTTCGCCTATCTTTATACCTAGTAATGCTAAGAAAAAAAGGATAAAATACAAAAAATAATAATAATAAAAACAAGAGACTGGAAGACAACCCTGTCCTTCTAGTGACATTGAGAAGATCGGAAATAATAATAATAAATCAAAAGCTACGATACATAAAAACATTAATGACAACTTTATACATTAAAATAATAATTATCTAGTAGCAGCTGAAATGGTCCCCACTCAGGTTAAGCTGCAACATGTTGCTGCACCGCAGATTTTCAGTGTGGTCACTACTCGATAGGTAGCACTCGAAAAACAAGAATAAATCTATAAAATATTATTAACAAAGTTAACAATAATTTACATGAAGGTCAAACAAATACACTAGTAAGTAGTATTAGACTCTATTACTAACAGTCCCTTTCTTCCTGGATTTCGATTATATACTTCTCGTAACGTGTTTCTTTCATCCTATAACTTCGGTCATTCAAACGTAGCAATAAAATATTTAGTTATTGGCATAGGCGACCAACTGTTGAAAATAGAAGCAGTCGGTAGATCGCATTCATGAACCATATCATCTCTGTGTTAACTCAGGATTGTATATCATAGCATCTAAATTGCAGTTTTTAAAAAGTGTAACAAATCACAACCTTTATTATTTTATCCATTAATTGACCACTAACAAACATAGAATAGTTCCATAGTTCACATAAGCGACGGTCCTAAACGTGTACATAGATAAATTTGCTACAAAACTTTGACCATTATGATCAAACTTTAATGACTTTAACCTTAACCTTTCGTAACAAATCTGTGAAAACTGGATTTCGAGTCATTATACCCTTTCCATCACAGATTGTACATCCCATAAACGTGGTAATCCTTTAACTTCCTCAAACAAGATAATGTTATTCCAATGCTATTACACTTATCAAACGGATCTAATTAAAACTCAGTACCGTTAACAGATTCATTAATAGATTATTAAAGTGGATAATATAAACGGGGAAAATTCAAAACTGACGCATAGTTAAATTTGCTTCGAAGAGAAAATGTGTTTGAAACTTAAGAATTTTAAGTTTGGCGTTGTTGTGTGTGTGTTAAGTTTGCAAAGTGAGTTAATAACGTTTGTACAATGTTCCTATTCTATTACTCGTAGTTCAAGAAATTTTAACTTCAAACGATTTCAAAGATTTCAAAGAGCGATTTGAAGCAAGGATGTTTTCAATTTGATTGTATTGTTATGAGTTTGTTGCGCGATGTCTTTGCCATCTATGGACAGATTTTGGATAAAGAGATAATTATTTTTTCTGTAATTTATAAATTGTGACGTATTGGTCTCGGGATAGTTTGTAGGATTATCTGCTGTAATGTTCGCACAGTACACCTGCAGTGCGAGCAATATAGTGGATGCACCATATTACTATTACTTTAAAGTATGGTTTTATTTGCTTAACGGATGCTTATGTTTTACACTGTAGATAACTATAATTGGCTAGCATGTAGTAAATGTAATGTAATATGTATTGAATTTTGTAAAAAAGCTGTTGTTATCCCAAATATAATAAAATAAAATACTCCGGCGTTAATCCTATAACGATTTTATAAAAGTTGAAACAATGGACGAAAATCCTAAATTACATGGCATATGAACTAACCCAGACTACGACGTAGATACATGAAATCTAGACAGGTGTCTGGCCTACACTGTGACACGTTTTGGCGCCAGAATAAATTGACGTTAAGACTGTGAAATGTATCTATGGTTTCGCCAGATATCATTTGTGGATTCCGCGACGACATTGTCGGAAAATTTAATTGTAATTTTGACTCTTGTCAAATTTTTCATTATACAAAATTTTTTTATGATTTAATCCCGCGGTTTAATAGTAATGTTAGCATAATTTTAGTACATCTTATAAAAAAGAGGAAAGAAACAATAAACGAATTTGATTGTCACCACTGAAGCATCCCATTTGAGGTACCACAATGGTAGCCAATGTAAAAGCAGACTAATGTTAAGCAGCTATATTTATCGCGCTTGATTCAAGCTGTTTGACCATTTACAAAATGATGCAGTAACTAGCGGACCCGAAAAACCTTGTCCTGCCTTTTGTTGTTATATATCTTTCTTTATATATAAATATGCGTGTGTGTGCGTGATTATTATGGAACCCTCTCAAAATGCCATCTCTGGTAAAATTAATTGTCACCTAATTGTGAAGCTAAATCATCCAAATATTTACTCAGTCACATACACAAAATTTCATCATAATCGTCCCAATGGTTTAGAATGAATGCAGAGTGATACATACATATAGAAGAAGTATCCTGAACCGGACGGTACATTTCTTGATTGGACGTAGTTAGAAATCTTCCCAATAAGGTAAGGCCTATGTTAAGCAGCGTACAGTCACAGTATATGATATAGTAAGGGAGGTAGGTTCATAAAAAATGATTATTCAAAAATCTTTCTAGTTAAGTTTACATAGTTTTTTTATTTTTATGTTACATATTATATAAAGATAGGAATGAATTAAAACCTCGGTCAGGGTCACTGACCGGAAGAAGGGCCAAATTAAAAGTACCCGTAACCGGCCAGCGTGTATGAATAGATTGATGAATGTTAAGGGAGCAAAAGAGGGACTAGAGGGAGACTTTGTACAAAAGTCGTTTGCTTGGGTACCTCTGTCCCATTCGTGTTTCAACCGTAAAGCAGTTGTATTTGCATGGCTGTGTTTCGGTTTGAAGGGTGGGATATGGCGTGAATTTACTGGGTACAGAGGAATAACACCTGAGTCCTCAGGAATGGCAAATGCCATGGGCGAAACAGTATACTCTGTTATGTCCATGGTATTGCTCATGTCTATAGGCGACAGTTACTACTTTCCGTCAGCTTGTTTGCCATTCTTAGTTGTATAAACAAAAAGTCGTCTGTTTGAATCGGAGCATTTGGGCGTCTATTGTTTCAGCCTAGACCAACGGGAGACTGGCGTGACGGATGTATGTATGTATATACAGAGTGAAAGGGACAGGTTAGTCAAAATGAAAACATCCGATTCAGATGAATGGTCTAAATTAAATGTCAAATTATTTTCCCGCTGAATACGCACCACCAATTAACGATACTTAGTTTTGACGCCGCGCAATGTATTTGAAATTTTGCGATCTACACGACGCGAGATACCTACAATGGACGGTCAATGATCAATGGCACTTCTTCGTAGATAGCTTTAGTATGCTTGTAGCGTTGACCTGACACAACTGATTCCGCGCATTGCGGTAAGATTTTAATGATAGGTAGATAGATAAATGATTTATTTGCATTACTTACAGCACACAAACAGCAAAAGACACAAATGCGAAGAGAAAAAAGATAAAAAAAGATACATGTAAAAAAAAAACTAAAAAAACAAAAACAAAATTAGAATGCATAAAATTAGTAACAATTTTTTTTTTCATGCGTGTGCCACAGTAATACAAAATGGCCACAACTCAGCTTTTTGCTTTGCCCTAAAAAGAGCAAAACACTGATATTCTGTTGTGGCCAAAAGTGAGCCTCGAAATACTACTGAAAAAAAAATAATAATAAAAAAAAGAAACTTAGATCAAATACATTGTGTGCGTTCGTAGTATTCGCTGTTTAAAATGCAATTATTCCATTACTGTTTTTTGGTATTTAATAGTATTTCACTATAAAGTATTGTTATTTATATATATTATGACATAATATCATAGATTACATGATTTTAAACGACAAAAAAAAAAACAGGAAAAAAATTAAAATTTTCCAGAAAGAATTTCCACTAGTTTTCAGTTCAAAATCTTGAATTCACTGTTTCAATTTCTGTCAACCTGTCTCTTACACTCTGTATATAAATATGTTATTTTATGTTGCAGTGCATATTATTCTTGGACATGTATTAACAACGACCACGACTGAAGCCACAAAATTCCGTTTCGAAGGTGTCGATTACTTTCAGCTACCGGACAACTTAAAAATATTGAATTATGACTGTTACACGATCAACATGGAATGTATTCGACATTAGTATGTTTTTCATAACACAGATTATCTGAATTATAAAACAATTGATTTGATTTTTTTTTATACAACTTAGAATGGCAAACAAGCTGACGGCCCACCTGACGGAAAGTGGTAACCGTCGCCTATAGACATGAGCAGTACCATGGACATAACAGAGTATACTGTTGATTGTTTGGCGTTTGATTATTTATATATTTGTTTATTTATTTATACATTTTTTTACATTCAGATTTAAAAAAAAGGACGAGACTCTCAATTCGGTTGTATTTTTTCATATTTTTTAATTCAAAATTTTCAAATAATAAAAAGAATTGTAAAAATTCTTTTTATTATTTGAAAACATACTCGTATACTTCCATATTGGTTACAAAGAAATTAAATCTAAATTGATTTGGCAGCTCGGTTTTTAAATGAAAACTAAACTGAATTTGCCACAACTGATGTGGGTACTTTTTATAAAGCAAAATATACTTAATTAATTATTTATTTGTTTATTTATTTGATATATTATTTGTTTATTGATATTGTCTTATATTGACACGATGGAGTCAATTAAACTCATGAAATTTATAGAATGATGTAATTTATTAAAAAAAAATCAATACAATTTTTGAATTGCGTCTTACGGCAGCTAACATAGTTTTTTGTTGACGTAAAGATACAGATAAAAAAAGTAGAATTTCTATTCATACTTGTAGTTGCAACACATATCGTCATAGTCGTAGAATACTGACGGATCTATATAATGTAATATTTGTCAGATCCGTCGGTATTCTACGACTATGACGATATATTGTTTATTTATTTGTTAGTTTTTATTTACTTTCATTATTTGTTTACTTAATGATCTATTGTACATAAATTTTATTTCAGTCCTAATTTAAATCCTGTGTGTGCGTACCGCATTCTTTCGCATCAATACAATGATTACTTTAACCTCTGCGAAGTTGAGTTGGAGAACTGTTTATATAGAATTCACCACAATGTTGACAATTATTATGGACAAGCGAGTTACGATAGTAAGTTATTATAATTTATCCACTGTTTGTGTTATGAATTTTTGGTGAAATTTCATTATAATTATGATATGATATTACTAGTTACTAGCCGCGACTTCATCCGGCCTATGTTCTTCTCTATACCATGTATACTCTATGTGTTTATAAAATTTAATAATAATTAGTTAAGCGGTTAAAATACTGAGAGGTGACAAATAAATTTGTAATTAGATGGCCAACAGCATCACTCTTAAGACATCATCAAGGTCTAACTGCGGTTGCCAACCCGTCTGCCAAGCATAGCAATTATTGGCTAAACCCCCCTTTATAGGTGAAGCCTATGTACAGCAGTGGACACTTAACTGTTATATGATGATGATAATTCACAAACTACGGATCATGTATGAGTGTATGAAAGAGAGAGTATAAATTAAGAGAGTGTAATCTTTTAATTATTTAAATGTAATTTATTAACAAACATATACATCTATACGAATTTTCTTATTTGTAATATTAACAGTATTATGCTATTTTTATTCTAGACAAAGTTTTCTTCAACGGTGAAAATTATAAATGTGAATTTTATGCAAGAATGGGAGAAGATATGGACGAAGCATACTTCGGTATGGCTTCGAGAGAACTAGACGAGGTCAAGACTGATATACTCAGGTCCATGATAAAAGAGAAGATGCCCAACAATGAGCTCGTGTCGACTGCTTCGCTGGTTAAAATGACTGGCGATTTTGCCAATACAACCGTTGGTAGTATTATGTAATTGTGTACAATACTTTGGTGTGGGGGGAAAGGGATTGTTAGTAATGGAGTTTGACAGCCCCATTGCTAGCAGTATGCCTTATTAGGTCGACCTCCACTTGGTTCCCCCTGAAACCATCGTGAACAATTCTTGTTGAATTCGTCACGATGGGCTAACTGACCTACTTCATCCTCACCTATCATCCTTCACTGGTGCCCCGCCTGTGTATACCGATAGCGCGGGTGGGGTTACCATTCCATTATCATTCATTAAAAAAAAATACTTTGGTGTTAATTTTAGTATTTTAATACACTTGTTATCTTATGGTTTATTTCTACTATATGTGCAATGAATAACTTAATTACTATTGAATTGGTCTAAATATGCCGTATGTGCTCCGGCATAGAATGGGCCACCACTATCTTTCTCGTGAGTATCATAAGAGGTGACTTAAGAAATTTATGGTCGAGGGGTGGACAGCAGCGTCCCTCTTAAAACATCTCTAAAAGCGTAACTGCGGTTGCCAACCCGCCTGCCAAGCGTGGCAACTACTGGCAAAACTCCTCTTATGGGGAAGCTGATGTCCAGCTGTGGACAATTAACGACTGAAATAATGGATCCGTCTAATTAGCTTTTCAAACTTCACATAATTTGTATAAACTTTTTTAAACAATAAAATTGTTATAGAAAAAATATCTTACACAGATAGCTTTTTTTTACACAACTTAGAATGGCAAACAAGCTGACGGCCCACCTGATGGAAAGTGGTAACCGTCGCCTATAGACATGAGCAGTACCATGGACATAACAGAGTATACTGTTTTGCCCATGATACCCCCATGCGTTGCCATTCCTGAGGACTCAGGTGTTATTCCTCCTTACCCAGTAAATTTACGCCATATCCCACCCTTCAAACCGAAACACAGCAATGCAAACAAAATTGCTTCACGGCTGAAACACGAATGGGACAGAGGTACCCAAGCAATCGACTTTTGTACAAAGTCTCCCTATGGTAAATCTATCTGGTAAATCTGGTAAATCTATCTACGTAGCTATTTCTATTATCTTATTATTGCATTCTAATGCAATCGCTGACTTTTTTATAGTCCTAATAACGAAAAATAATTCCATTATACATTACTTTTTTAATTTAATTATTTATATTACAGCATTTTCGATGAAATCACTCAGTCGACTTAATTTCCCCTGACACTTTGAACAATTATCGTACTATTTTAATAAATCAACTCAAAACAGCATTAATATATATATATATATATATATATATATATATATATATATATATATATATATATATATATATATATATATATATATATATATGTTTTATAACTAAAAATTTGTAACAGTATCAATACAAACTACGAGATATCATTATATAATTAGAAATATTAACGATGCTTTCTCCCACGAACACTCAGGTTGTGGAATGAGCTCCCTGCCAAGGTTTTCCCAAGAGACTACAGCTTGGGGTTTTCAGGGTCGGCAACGTACGCGTAATAACTCTGGTATTACAGGTGTTCATAGGCTATGGTAACGACTTACCATCAGGTGGGCCGTATGCTTGTTTGCCACCTCAGTGGTATAAAAAAAATATTAACAAGGACGCTGAACAACACGCAGTTGTAAAGAAAACTATTTGATTATTTAAAATACAAAGTTATAATAGTTTAAAATGACCTTGACAGGATCATCATTAATGGAAAATGATCGTCATCATCAATCAAAGGAAATCATAGGGGTTTGTTTCGTCCGTACTTTGAAGGGTATAAAAATAACCCATCTCAAAATTATCGTATCTTGACCTATTTCTCACTTTGGCTGTTAAAAAATATCAAATCCTGCAGAATTGTATTAGTTACTATATACTTTTTTAAATACATTTGTCAATGTACCCCATATTTGGGGTACATTGATACAAATTTCATACATACATATCTGTCACGCCTGTCTCCCATTAGGGTAGGCAGAAACAATGGAACGCCAAATGCTTCGATTCAAACAAACCTCTTTCGCTTCTTCCACATTCATCAATCTTGTCATACACGCTCGTCGGTTACGGGTACTTTTAATTTGGCCCTTCTTCAGCACGTCGCCTATTTGGTCGACATACGTCCGTCTAGGGCGGCCCCTACCGACATCTCCATTCATTCTTGCTCGATAAATCTCTTTCGTAATTCTTCTTTCATCCATCCTCTCCAAATGACCAAACCAACGCAACATTCCTTTTTCAATTTTTGTCACTACATCGTCTTTCAGTCCACACTTCTCTCTAACCACACTGTTTCTTACTCTATCTTTTAAAGTAATACCACACATACTTCTCAAAGCTCTCATCTGTACAGCATTTATCTTACTTTCATGCTTCTTCTGCCATACCCACGATTCGCTTCCATACATGACTGTTGGTGTCAGTACTCCTTGAATTATAGCAAGGCGAGCTTTGCTCGATACATTTTTACTTGACATAATCGAGAGCAGTGCACCGTTAACACTGTTTCCCGCTTTTACTCTCCTCTCAATATCTCTGTCACACTTCCCATCCCTCGTAAACAAAGAACCTAAATATAGAAACTCACTCACTTGCTCCACTTTTTCATCTCCTATCATAATCTGGCATGCCGTTAAACTTTCATTCCTCTCAAAAACCATTACCTTCGTCTTCTTCGCATTTATTTTCATACCTTTTCTTGCATACGCTTCATTCATTATAGTCACCATTTGTTGTAATTCATACTCCGACGATGCAAAAAGTACTTGGTCGTCGGCGTATAAAAGAGTCTTAAACAGAGACTCATTCATCCTGAATCCACAATTAGATCCTTTCAAATCGGTCAAGCAACTGTCCATAAATAGGTTGAACAGCCAAGGAGACGCTACACAGCCCTGTCTAACACCGCGTTCAATGCCAAACCAGTCTGTATAGACTCCATTTATTCTGACACAGGCATTTGAATCCTTATATAAAGATTTGAATGCCCGTATCAAATGGCTGCTCACCCCATACATTGCCAGTGTTGACCACAGTTCATTCCTCTCCACTCTATCATAAGCCTTTTCAAGGTCAATGAAGGCGCAGAAAACCTTCTGATGTTGAGCTAAGGTTTTCTCTGTTATGCACCTTAAGGAAAAGACTTGATCCGTACATCCCATACCCTTTCGAAACCCTGCTTGCACATCCCAAATTTTACTTTCCGTCTCATTCATCACTCTTTTAATCAAAATCCTAGCATACAATTTGCCTACAACACTAAGAAGGCTTATTCCGCGGAAATTTTTGCACTCCTGCTGTGACCCGCTGCCTTTATATAGTGGCACAATAACAGCTTTGCTCCAGTCACCTGGAACACAACCGGACCGCCAACATTTATTGAACAGCAGACACAGCAGGTTTACAATGATTTCTCCACCTTCTTTAAGCATTTCGGCAGATATTCTATCGAATCCCGCTGCTTTACCAAATTTCATAATCTTCATTGCATTCATTACTTCATCCATACTTATATCACTTTCACTGTCAACTTCTTCGTCCATTATTTCATTTTCAACATTCTTTCTTTCACTTCCACGTTCAAATAAACTTTCAAAATATCTCTTCCAATGATCTAAGACTTCCTTTTGTTCCGTGATAACATTACCATCCATATCCCTTATCACGCCCATTTTCGGATCTCTCTTTTTACTTCTAGCTGTTCGAACTAAATGCCAGAAAAGCTTTTGATTAGCTCGAAAATTTCTAGAGAATTTCCTTTCATACTCATCCTTACATTCCTCTTTCTTTTTGCTTACTAATTCTTTAACTTTCTTTTTCATTACATCATACTTCTCTTTTGCAATTTTTTCAATGTCACTTACATTACCTTGCATTCTCTTATTAGCTCTGGTAGCTAACAAATCCATCCATGCCTTTTTCTTTAGAGCCACCATTTCTTTCACTTCGCCATCCCACCATACATTCATTCTCATCTTAACATCCTTCCTCTTACTTACACCACAAACTTGAGTAGCTATATCAAAGATTCCGCATTTAAATTCCTTCCAAAATTCTTCTATCTCATAGTTATCTTTCTTCAGTAGCTCTCTAAATCTTTCATTCAATCTTTCTTGATACTGATTTCGAACCTGTTCTTCTGTCAGTCTCTCTACTCTTACTCTTTCTATTTCTGACATACGAACACGTGGACGATGTCGCCATTTATTGAATAAGCCACCTATTCTCGATATCACCAAAAAGTGATCGGTTCCGACATTCGTACCACGATAGACTCTTGTATCCTTCACTTTCGCTCTCAATCGTTCATCCACAACTACAAAATCAATCATACTTCTCTCAGTTTGCCTTTGCCATGTATACATATGAATCAGTTTGTGACTAAACAAAGTATTACTCACCACCAGATTTCTCTCCAGGCATACTTCTAATAAACTTTCACCATTTTCATTCACTCTTTTATCTCCAAACATTCCTAAATTCCTTTCATATCCATCGCGACGGATTCCCACCCAGCCATTAAAATCACCTATCAAAATAATTCTTTCATTCTCCTTACATTTAGTCATAATCTCTCTTACACTATCCCAGAAATCCTCTCTGACCTTTGGTGGCTTGGACATATCTGGGGCATAAGCGCAAAGGAGAAAAATACGGGTCAAACCAACTTTCAGTCGTATCCAGAGGAGTCTAGGACTTACAAATTCAAATTCTTTAACAGATGCATTCATTCTCTCTGACAAAATAACTCCCACTCCTTGGCTGCTTCTTTCAGAGTCATTAACTCCAGACCAGTACCCAGTATATCGGTCATAAGTAGTAATAGAGCAGCCTTTCTTTTTTGTTTCACTTACTCCTAATACATCAATTCTTCTTTCACTCATCATCTCACATACTTCGTCTATTTTACTATCCATACCTCCACAAACATTCATCGTTGCAATTTGGCATTCCTTTGCCCTCTTTTTGCCATTTGGGGAAACAGGGGAGACATGACGTGACGCGTGGT